AAAGAGTAAGAGCACGTGGCGACATGTTATTGGCGGCTGAACGTAGCTCTACGTCCGGTCAGAGGACGTAATAATTTTTATCGTTTGAGACGGCTTTCTTTATGCTTCTTAAAAGTTAAAACAGCTTTCCAATATAAAAATTTTAATTTTTTTACTAAAAAATAGTTTTAAGAAACAGTAAAAAAGTAGTACCAAACAAGCCTTAATGTGTCGCGCCACATAAGAGAGGAATCTAACGTGGGTTGTGGGTTTCCAACCACGCTCTCCCACCAACCTAGCTAAGTCCAATGGGGAGTGGTGTTAAAATCACAAATAATTTTTAACATAATCAAGATTACAAATAAAAAAGTTTCTGAAAAAAAAAAAAACTTATTGTTCATATTTAGCTCGAGCGACTTCTGCTTGATTATGTAATCAGCAACCGAATCATAAAAAGAGTAAAGACGACGAGCCCTCACCTGTCGAGCGTCATCTTTCGAGGTGAGGATATAAGAGCCAGCACCGCCGCCAATGGATAGCAGAACCTTGATTCCTTGCGCCTGGCACGACTTGATATCGCTACTAAGTCCTGTGCAGCCATTCGAGTAGGGATTGCAGTGGCCGGCGAGATTCAGCTGAGGTTTCTGCCCATTGCCGAAAGAGCAGAGGAAGGCCAGAATAACGAAGGCGTAGTCGCCAGAAGCGCAGGTCTCGGCCAGGCTACCTTCGTTGCCGTTTTGGCCCCAGTAAATGGCAATTTTGCCGGCTTGGGAGGTGGCCGTAAGGGCGGCGAGAGCTAGAAGGGAAACTAGCCGTACCTTAGTTGCTGCCATTTTGGGTTCTTTGATTCTCTTATGGGTCAGAGGAGCTGAAGGTTCTGTTTATATAGAGCTTGATTTGAGGGGAGTTTTCTTCCGGAGAGGATTCCACGTCGCTGAGGATTGAGCAGAGCGTGCCGCCGGAGACACGGCTACAGTTTTAAATGTTGCAGCAGTTTAGTTGGGCGGAGTATCGCTAGCTAAAGATTTAAATAATAGGGATTATAATTAGGGGTCTCAATATTTAGCACGATATGAGAAATTAACTCGAATCCGATTCAAAAATTTTGGGTTAAGGTCAACCCATTTCATGTGTCGGGTTCTAATTAAACAAATTCAAAAATCGGGTTGAATTTGGGTTGACCTGAAAACCCAGAAATGACCCGGAATGATACAACTAAATCTGATGATCGTGTCTGCCCATATCGAGTGCCCGGCATCTGCCCGCATTGATGTCTGTCATGTCTCTTCGTGTGAGTCACCGGTCACGTTGCCGTTGCGTGAGTCGTGTCAAATCTCCCGAGTCACGCCTGTTGCCGGTCCGATAACCCGCGCGGGTCAGGTTCAGGTTGAAATATCTTACTACAAACGAGTATGAT